CCGCCGAAATCTCGTTGAGTTGAGAGCACCACGCGACTTATATTTGTTCCAAATACTGTGGTTACCTTGGTCAGAGGAACAATGTCCGAGATAACAGGAAAGAATGAGTCACTGTTTGAAGTATTTTGGTTTTCCCGCTCTCAACGAGATCTCGTGGCCATTTGGTTTTTTGAAATAATATCGAAGATATCACGGAGAAAAGAAAGCTTACCCTGAACGCGTCATTCAAAAATGAATATATTATGGGATTCATAAAACTGTTTGCCATTGCCATCCAATGACATGTTAGGTAGACGCTGATGATCATCTTGTAGTATTTAGACTCTTTCAGATATCGTTGGTCGATAGTTATGATGATGTTAAATATATTCAACGGTAGCCAGCAGACAGCGAATGCAAAGACAAGTATGACGAGCATCTTTAATATCTGTAGTCATAGAAACATAGAAGTGTTAGAATTTACTCTGATATCAAACAGATATTGTTCTTTTGTTGAGACGTCGATAATTCTTCAAATTGGTATTTAAGAGTGATTTTTTTAGGAAATAGCCTGTAATAGAGCAAAGCCTTGAAATTGTTTATGTCTTGTTCAAGAGAATGACCAGCACATTCATCTTCTATGCCTTACGTACAAGAATCACTCGTTTTACACTGTGTGTAACAAAACTTGATTAAATGATTAGAAATGGTACTGCTATTTATTTCTTGTTGGTAAATTATATTGAATAATAAGCAGACCGATATTGGCAAAATAAATCCTGTGTACAAACACCTTTTCAGAAAAATATAAGGAATGTTAGCACGCAATCAATTCATCAATCCTACTAATCAAATGAATGATAGCGTTCTACCTTATGTCGGAGATGAAATATAACAGTGGAATTTCATCAAAAATAATTTAAATTGAAATGTTGTGGGCTAACAACCACCCCGTGTCGACGTACTCGATGTCAAACATAAATTCTTTGTTGTATTTGTCTGGGAGATGTACATCTGCATTTCAAAACCAATTAACTTCTCAACAATTCGGAAACAGTTACTCAAACTAACGATGTCTCTGATGAACGAGCACAGAATCGTTATGAATACCCATAAGAAGGCAGCATGTTTTATGTTGGTATTCGATGCGAAGATAGAACGTAGGCAATAACGTCATAGGTTTTTCATATACAAATATTAATTTACAAATCTTGTAGGAAGGTGTACAACATAAATGTACGTGTATTATAAGATAGCTCCTAGGTTACTGAACAAGAAATACAACAGTGCAAATTTCCATGAGGATAAAATGACAATTACTAAAATATATTACTAAATATCAATAATAATAATAATAATAAATAATGATATTAATAATTATCAGTATCTTAAAATTTAAAGCAGGGATATGAAATTTTGTAAAATTAGCTTCATCTATATAATAAATCTCATACGGAATGGACATTTCCCTATTCATCACATTTTTATGTCACAGAATAAAGAGAGATACGAAGAAATGTAATCTTGTAATAATTCTAGTTCTGTATTAATACTATGAAGTTTGGGCTCGTATATTGTAAATAATGAATAAGGCATATTTTATTATCGTAAATTATCTCAATATATCTGGCATAATACAAACAGATATGTAATCAATTCAAGATATTTTAACGCACGACAACGACAAAGCGCCTTGTCCCTCTATGTAGACAAAATAGCGTGTGGTGAACGTGAACTTACAGTAAAAGAGTAATTAGAATATTATCATGTCATGTGCATAATAATAATGTGTAATATTAACGAAGCATAACATCAATCGTCATTTACCCTGTGTTTTTAAATTAAACTTTTTGTGCGTTTTTATACAACATTAGAAATATCATTTCATTGACGATTGAATATTTTTAAAACAAGTATGGCAAACGAGAATGTCCTAAGCAGGTACTTTATTTCCTAAATCAAATTCGTACAACTAAAGACATGACTAGAAGGTCGTGGAACTTCAAAGAGAGAAATATTAAACATAAATTTTGGAACTACATGTTCTATTACGTGAGCAATGACGCGTTTTTTTTGCAATGTTGTGTGTTTTACCTTAGGCTAGTCATGAGATAAGTGAGACGTTCTGTCATGTCATGATTTAACTCAGCTGACATATTTCGCGTTGTTATTCTTTTGTTATCTATACATATATATCTATATATATATATATATATATATATTCAACAACGGCTGTCGGATCCACTTATGTTATATTATGTTATATCAAAGTGTTGTCCAGACGTATATATCTGCGTGTGGAACCCCATCAGAGTGGCTGTTATGGTTCGCCAACAACATATATCCGAGATCTAGCACCTTTC